CTCTTCAGTCATATCCATATTCATATCTATTTCATATCTATATTTTAAGACTGAGAACTGACAGTTTCAGTTACATTTCCCCTTCAAAATAATCTCTCAAGTCCCTTCTAAAATGCAAACCAGTCAACTCTTGCCTTATTGTAATCTCTTGTGAAAGGAGTTCGCTTACAAACTTTTATCAAGCCTCTTCATTAGCTGAAGCGTTCAGTGGTGATAAACTTAAAGAGTTCTACAGCCATCTGCAGGAATGCGTGGATACTGTGGCAGAATGGTGTGTCACTATTTGCTGTGGATTTGTTCCTCAGGTGAGAGAGATGCTAATTGGAATATAATGGATAGGCAAGTATTGATCATTACCAAGTCATCCAATTGTAAAATAGAAATCAGTGTTCTTGAAAACATTATTACATCACAACAATATGCTGCATAGGATTTTCCAAGTTAGAGTACAGAAATTTAATAGTGTTAAACAAAAAACACACACTCTTCCACATCTGCCCTTGTTAGTAATCAGTACTTTTATGCATTTTTGACACAAACAGAACATAAAACCATCACCTCCATTACTTACAAGCAATCTTAGCAATGTCGTAGTGTCATCTGCTAAGTGGTTTGACAGTAAATATACTAAAGGACAAAATTAAGTTTGCCTTCGATGATGTTGTAACCGTCGGCACAATTACAGTGCACCAACAAAAGCAACTGCACTGATATCAAATAAAGCATTGCAGCTTGCAAGGAAAGTGACAGCTGCTAACGGCAGACGGGCAAAGTAAAGTGATGAACAGACATGTTGTTACAATGAGACATATAAAATAAACCTGCAAACATTTTGTATTTAATACACTAGTACCCAGAGTTCCCCCAAGTGAGATGACGGCCTCGCTAGTTTAGACCGTTGTACTAGCATGTATGAAGCTATCTGCTATATAAGACTGTCTTCATTGCATCTCTCTGAAGAGTCTGTGGAATAATTACTGAATTTGAATAGCATTTTTTAATTTGGGGAGAAAGGGGATTTTTGCATTTTGGTGGGGTTTGGGGGTTTGGTTTGTTTTTGTTTACACATGGGATGATAGTGATTACAGAAACATCTAATAAACCAGAGAGCTAGAACTCATGTTCAGGAGTATCTGTTGTCCTACACCCGTTTTACTGTATTATCCTTCTCAGTGACTGGACTGGTGAACCTAGAACTCTGATAGCGACAAAGGTGATACCTACTAGTGAGTTAAGAACCGCTTTGTGTGCTTGGTTGCTGAGAAGGTGGATTGCAATTAAAGCAGTGCAGCTGTAGGTTCCCCCATAGAACAAAATGTTTATTTGGGGAATGTAACCAAATGGTCCATTGGCTGCAAAGGTCAGGGTAGATAAAAATCTGACATAGCCTATTACAAATGTCTTGGAGAGGTGAACATGTGTAACTGTAGAAAAGGCACTCATCAAAAATATTTGCTTATTGAGCTATGAAAATTACAGAAAAAGAAGTTGTGTTGAGTAGGCACGGATAGAAATGTTTGGGGAGCTTAGAGAGACAATTCTAGGCGTGCTAGCATAGTAAGGACAATTACGATGAAAAAAGAAATGATAGGGAGACTGCAACTATTTAAGAAGGAGATAGCGAAATTTCTGTCAGAGTGAGTGTTTGTCACAAGAATGCATGGATGCTTGTGAATTGCTTTACATGTCATTGCTTCTATAAAAGTATTTGCTGTATAAAAACTATTTTTTATTGTGTTTATTATTTATTATTTCAGTAGCTTTTTTGTTGTTACTACCTTCCCAGTCTGTCTTCATTTTTGTGGCTCTTATTTACCACATAGAAAGGAGAATCTAAACACCGTGCGCAAGATGAAAAATGAATAAAAATTGACAGCGGCTTTTCCAATGTTTTTGTTTAATACGTCGAGGCATGGCACAACAACAATAACAACAAAATTCTTGGCGTGCTAGTGCAAGTTCACACCAGCCTGGCTTTTGCAGCCCTCTTATTTCCCTCTGCCACAACTTTGCCGCTGCTGTGACACTTGCAGGCCTGCTCGGCCGCGGTGCAGCTGATGCCCTGTCCATGCTCATATTTTTCTTATTGACAGTGAGTGTTCTTGCCAAACGCCAGGGACCATAGTCACATCTGTTTGTCTCCCAAGCTTGTCTGAGGCTGCTTGGGAACACTTTTTATCCAGAGGGCAGCTTTAACTAGGCCTAATACTCTGAAAAGCCTCTATTTGTAAATGCATACAATGAGGCGACAAGTTCTTGTTGTCTTTCCTTAAAAATTATTCCATTTGACACTGCTTGCTCCAGTCCCTGTCACCAGCACGTCAAAAGCCAAGTTTTCAGGCAAGGTGGTCTTAACAAGTTTTATTTTTTCCCTAATAAAATGCCTAGCTTCCCTCCAGAGCACTATTTATAAATGATAGCTGGAAGCAAGCTAGGGGTAAGTAGAGAGAAGTCAGGCAAATAGCTTTCTTCCTTTCTGTAATCCACGCTCTTCTGATTTAATGCTAAGAAACATAATGCTGAACTTAGCCTGATTGAGGGTCAGAGTTCTCCCTACTTTATAATATTATAATACCTCCATTACAAGCATTTCAAAATGTACTGTGCAGCTTCAGAATAATACCTCATTTTGTCTAACCTGCCAGTTCCAGGGCAGTGACAGTTTTTGTCTCTTCCTCTTAACAAAAAAAAAAAAAAAAAGCTTTTTGTTTTGCTGTGATCTACATTGACAGTGCATATCAAATGTTAAGACCTGGCGAAAGCAAATGATGCTTTAGAATCACGAGTTAGCTTAATGTTTGATGTTAGTGGCCATAAAACTGGGTTTGACAAAGCTTAATTGGTGCTCTAGCATATTGTTATTTATTTGTGGTGTACAGAATTTTCGACAACAACAAAGAAATACCCACACTCACCTTGGCTGGTGATCGGGTTGTTGTGCTCGGCAAAGGCAAATGATTCATTTATGCTGAAGGAACAAGGCTGCCTTTCAGACGTTCATTGATTTTAAATTAAAAAGTAACTGCTATGTTCTACATGAAGGGTGACAACAATAACAAAGTAGTCCTTACTTAGTGTTATTTGTTGCAACTCCATTCCGTGTGCCTGGAGGAAAAGTGGGGAGACCCCAGTACCATAATCTTACAGATCAATAATCTAGATATCTCAATGTAGTGTAACAGATAATCAATTCTGGGTAGAATAACTCAAACGCTGCTAGCTGTTACTGCTGTGGCTCAGGTCTTCAGGTTCAATTGCCTGACTTTATTAATTTTTATCTTTCATCCTACTTGTATTCCTGGAGACTTTCTCCCTTTTTCATTCAGAAGAGAAAACTGAGCGTTGCACACTGTTTAACATATAATTTACCACACAACTTATTCTGCATGTTTAATATCAATGTTAAATATTGATGTATTGATGATTAAACATCCCTTATTTTTTTTCTAATAATTGTTTCCCCATATTGTATTTAAATGTTAATTTTCTTTATTATACAATCAATTATGAAAGGGTTGCACATCTTGATTTCTTTCTAAGTTTAAAAATGAAATTTATCACAACGTTAATATACTAGTTCAACTGTGTTCCATTTCTGGATGTTAAAATAGGACACAATTTCAACTTAGAAGAATTGCAAGGAAAACGTCTGTTGTAAAACGAAGAGAATTAAATAAGTGTTGAAACAGGGGTTCACTAGGTGAAGCTAGAGTGTACTTCTGTGTGAGACTTAAATTTCTTGGAATATTTTACTATTTAAATAAAAGCACTGTGGTACTTGTTAATTTACTGTAACTTTTTAGAAGAAGTATGTAGAGGATTGTACGTTGTCATATTTTTCATCAAGCTGTTGTTGTCACTCTTTTACATTATTGAGCAGATCTGAGGTCTCTCAACATTATATGGCCATTTGTTATTCATTTAGAAGCAGCATAGCTTTAAAAAGTTTATAAATGCAGTAAAGGATAAGTCATATATCCACACTGAAACCAGATCCCGTGAGTGACAGAGTGTTACTATGCTACAGTAGACTGTCAGGCGCAATTTTCAGCTCATAATTTTGTCAAAATACACTATACTTCTGTGGTAAGAATCACAGTTCTCAGTAACAGTTATGGAGACATATTAAAATTGTGGAGTTTAGAAATTACTGCATTTTCCCCCCTTCTGTTCTAGTTCTTTCCAAAAAAAATGACAGCTACATATATTCCATTCTACAGGCCCTGTACATTACTTTAAGAAAAATAATAACTATAGTTGTCCTTTAAGGTTATATCCCAAAATTCAATATTTGGAAATTCCAAATTTACCCTTTTCTGTGGTACCTGGTTTCTAATAGCTGGCTTTAATGCAATAAGATTTGCTTGTTTGCCATCCTCTGCAACTCCACCAATTTTCCAGTCCCCAAGTGTAAGCTCGTAATTGTTTAATGAGTATACCAGATAGTATGCTTCCATGTTCTCATTCTCACAACTTGCTGGTGAATTAGAAGAGGACAAATTGCTGTGCTACAAGTTTATTTCATGCACCTTTGAGGAGTTTACTGTTTCATGTTTTCTCATTCATTCTTCATCTTACCTTAAAAAAATTGATAATACTTTTCATGTAATAAATGTTGTCCTGACAGTCAGGCGTTACTAGCCAATTGATAACCTACCAACACTATTGTGATCTCTTTAGATAATTAATCTTAGCTATTTTCCTGTCAGGAGCAATAGTGGGTTTGTTTTATGTTGAGCTAGAAAGATTGCCAGTTTTGAAAATTAAAAAGCATTCCCTTTATATTATTCATTCCAGTAACAATTTATGATGCTGCATTTAGATACTGAGCGCTTGTCAACAAACATAATTATGCTTCGATATAAACAAGATTGGTGGCTTCACTGTGCAGCTTCATCTTGGTTGAGAATGTTTTGATATAGGTTCAGATTATACAAGCTGTGTACTTATGTGGCGGTTTTCCTCCTTTGTTAATAGTTTTCTCCTATAATTACTTGCAGGCAAACCAGTGTACATTTAGGATCATTGTGCATGGGAGACATCAAACGGAGAAGGAAAGCTGCTCCCCTGCCAGGACCCACAGGTAACCAATTTCCCTGGGACAGAACACAAAACACAAGATGTTAAATCTCTAAATACAAAGCAGTAGGTCAGTGACCTGGGAAAATGCTTGATAAATTCAGTGACTTCCCATATAACTTCAGATATGTCCTATCCTTATTTATTAATAGAGATTAAGAAATAAATAGGCTCTCTTAATTCTCCCTCAGACATTTCCAATTTCTAGTCCTTTGTAGCACGGCACTTCTTTAAAGAGAATAAATCTTTTTTCATATACTGAGAATCATAGACAGTAAAGATTACTGCTTATGCTTCAAGCGTTACAAGGTAGAAGACATGAGGTATCTTTTTTCTGTGAGGAATGCATATGAATACTATAAATACCCTGCACAATAAAGATAGGATGTGAATTCTTGGGCAAACAATTGAAAATGTGGAGATAAAGCAGTGTTTCACAGCCTTAAAATTAGTGCTGTACATTAAATAAGAAGCACTTGCAAGCACATTTCTGAAAGATTTTTACAGATGCGAGGTCACAACCATTGGATGCATTTTGCTGATGTCACAGCTGTGAAATGACTTTTTCAATACTTAGCAGTGATTTATAGGACTCTCATCAGTTTGTTGTATTAATTATATATGTGCGTACTGGAAGGATTAGATTGTGTGTGTGTGCCTGTCTGAGGCTTTTTATATATTGCTAATATGGAAATCTGGATTGCATGTCCTAGTCATATATCAATTACTATAGCAGCACATGCAACACATACAGTTCTTCAAATATATTCTAAATAGATATCTTTAGAGAAGCCTAATATTTGTATTCCGAGTGAATTCCCCCTCCTGAAACTTCTTTGTTTCAAACCTCAGTGGCAGAAACAGACCAAGAATAATATTAAAAATGTTATAAAAGCACCTTAGTGGCAGCAGTATGGAAAAAGAGAATGTGTGGGTCAGCTTCTAAGACTCTGAACATATGTGAAGTGAGAAAGAAAAATACTTAATGGCTGAAGAGAGAATAATATAATTATTTCTACAAGGTGATTTTCACTTCACAACTTTCAAGTACTAGACGATGTCATTTTGTACTGAGAGGGTATGAAGTATCATGAAATTAATTTTATTACTCATTTTACCTTTGGCTTTCCGTGTTCAGTATTTTATTTTACAAGCTGGCTCTTCTGACTAACTTTGCAAAGCCAATATTTTGATACTAAGGCAAATATATTATGTGGTCATTCAATGTTACGTATCTATATATTCACAATTTTAGAGATTGTTTTGCTCCCAAAATTTACGTTTACATGGAGAGAGACAGAGAATAATGGTGGATAAAGGTATCATATGAGATACCTTTTAACTAATGTGTGTTTCAAGGTAAACTTTTCAATTTTGTTCTGAGCAGGACGACTGAGAAATTTTTCTGTGGTTGTATAAAAGTTTTTTTCTGCATTTAATCATTGCAAATTTTTAAGCAAATAGAAAGTTTGGTAAACTTTGAGTACATATGTGTAGGTAATGTATAACATTTTATAAATTATTACAGTTGTCTCAAAGGCTCACCTTCATACAGATAAATTATTTATCCATCACAGGCCTTGTTTGTTTGTCGGTATTTCATACCATCTTATGAAAGAAAGAGTTTCCTTTTAGAAAGGAAATACATTTGGAAATTTGGATTAAAATGAAAGATCACTATTTGATTATTCTTCCTTCAGTAGTTTTAGTTAGCTAAGATATAGGAACAGAAGGACTAGATTTTATGTAGGATAATTTGTAAACTTTTTTCTTGAACGAAAGAAAGGGCAAATTTTTATATTCTTATGAACAAAAGTTGGAAATGAAAAGAAGCATTCTGCTAATAACTGTCCATATTTAACATCATAGTGAAACCTGAAAGGCTGTCTGTAAATGAGTCATTAACTGCAAACGTTTCCTTGAGCTATATATGCTGCAAATTAGCAAAGTTTCACCTAATATGAGCCAATCCATTGAAAAAAGTATTTTCAAAATTCTTGTCTGCATTTTTTGAATAAATTACATTGGTAAATTAATTCTCGTAGCACTATGCACAGTGTTGAAAATGGCCATTTATATGTTTAGGTTCAGTAGTACTGAAGAGAATGACTGGTGATCCCAGTGAAGTACCGAAACACGTTCTCTGGTTTTGAGTCTCACAAGGGTAGCACCTGCTACTTTCAGACACCTTACAAAGCCAGAGACTTCTGTAGCAAGCAGTGTTATTGGTTAAACATTTATTAATTGTGACAAGAACACCCAATTTATTTCAGTACTCCGGCTTATTTACTGCTCTTTCACCTTTGTATTTTGTATTGAAAAAGTAAAATGAATATTGATAGAGTTAGATATTGATTTCTAAATTTATAGCCTGTTCTCAGCCTGGAGTCAAAGTCACATACCAATAGGTTTGTGTATATTAGTAACAAAGGATGTAGCCTTACTTGTACAGCAATGAGAAGCTATTGAAGCAAGAAAGTTTGAGCAGCATGGAGCATTTTATAGTTTCAAAAATGTCATTTGTAAAGGTGAAGAAAAGCTGTGTTGAAAAGCAGTGAAGAAAATGGGAGATAATATACATATGGATTGTTAGGAGCTGACAGTACTGAGACAGGAGTGTCCTATTCTGCCTTTTTTACTAAGATAAATTTTCTGGTTTGTGGATGCTTGATATAGCCCCATCTGTGTGTTACTGAACCTGGACAGTTAATTAGTTTATCAACTAAAAAAAGATACTAATAAAAATTGTTTACTTCCTATGATTTCTTTTAAGAATTAGGTGTTGTACATTATAAATACCTAGTTTTTTGCACAGCTTCTTCCGTGAAACCAATATTATTTCAGTGATTCTAGTCAGATTTGGGACCAGGTCATTCTCAATGACTTTATGCCCTCTCTGACTACCTGAGTGGTAGAGCTATCTCATATGACACCCTGACATATTTCATTGCAGCAATACAGTGCCCTCAAGTTTGTATAAAAATCTCTTAGACAAACTAATATATTATCATGGAAATAGCTCTACCAAAACTGGGTCCAGTATTAATGAAAATAATAACAAAACAACAAAAGAATTTGTATGCAAGAGAAAGGACATTCTCTGCAAAGTATTGTTACTACTTGAAACACATGAATTGGGAATTTTTACAGTAATTTCAGTCTTAGATTACCTAGTTTAAGTCTCATATCAAACCAGTAGATGCTACAGAATTTTAGATGCCATGTTTATACACTGAATATGCATCTACCCTAGTTCCTTTCCTATTGACTGTCTATCATCTTCTGTACAAGACATTTCTCAATCAGCTCCTGTTAAATCCCTAAGACTTTTTAGGTTCTTTTTCTTTTTTCTTTTTTCTTTTTTTTAGTATGAAACCTCTAAATCTTAAATGTTGGGGAAAAAATCATCAAACTGTTTCACATCTGCAGCATGTTAAGTTAATTTACAGAATGTAGAAAGTTTGATGCAGAACAAAAGTTAAGTTTTACTTGTATGCCTTGTAAATAGCCATTTATTTCTATGTGAAAACAATCTTTTTGCTCTGGTCTTTACATAGCATGGTTTACAGTTTGGAGCAGTGTTGAAAACCTGCAAAAACTAATTTTAAAAAGAGAAAGCTATTTTGTACTTAAAATACAAAGAGTATGCATATAAAATATATAAATTATTATGCATGTTATGGGCACTTTAATACTTAAATTTTGCAAAAGCAAATTTCAGATGTCATTTTCTTTATCTAGTTGGCATGTTGCATGCTACACTTCAGGCTGGTACTGATTGAAATGACCAAGTTAAAAGTCTCATTTTAAAGAATGTGTTTTAATGAAAAATGTGACAGATTCTTAATTACAGCAGAAATACTGAGCACTGCTATAATGCCATCATGACTCACTTTAACAAGGTAATCAAAAGGGTACATGTTTTCATTCCTTTTTAAAAATTGCCAATGGAACAGCTAAGCAAACTATTTTGCTGATGCTTAATATGTCAGTGATTAAAAATCAGACCTGAATATCTGCAGTACCAAAATGATGATTTGAAAAAGATTGTGATTACACTGTGATAACAGAGGTGGCTGAGGCTAAGTTTGTGGTGAAGGTCAACTTGGTGAGATAGTTGCAGAGAAAGGGTAGACTTTTGTGTACTTGGGTAAACTGGCAGTAAATTTCCAAAACTCTAGACAAACTATTATACGCCTGCTTTCTTTTTAGCTTGATTCACTGCTTTTCTATCTAGTAAACATACAACTCCATAGATAGAAAACCCTTGCTATAGGGCAATACAACATTGGCATGTGTTGTGAACACTTCCCTTATTGCGTTGCGCCATTTCTTATCCTTAGTCTACGAAAGTTCTTTCTGGAGTACACAGCGTATCTGCTTCATTGTCCGGCCTATGGATACTCTTTTTTGTTTTGTTGGCTTCTGCAGCAGATTAAATTTTAGGGACTCCTTTCTGTTTCTTTTTTTTCTCCTACCATATTCTCTCACTAAATCAGTTCAAAAATTAAAAGATCACAGAGTGCCATCCAGTATTGGAAACTGCTGTCGTTTCAGAGCAAAAGGCTTTTCATGTTGAGCTTGAGGTCATTGGTTCAGGCGGGGCCCCTTACAATAAACACCAGAGTCAACAAGGAGAGTTCAGTAACAAACTTCAGAAGAAAAGATCCTCAATGCAACAAGAACCAAGCTTATACTGAGAATTTGCTAATGGGTTCCTTGTGATCTAGAGAGAGGACAATGTTCTTCAGGCTGTACACATAGCCAATTAAAGTCAAGGAGAAACCTTCAGGTTGATAGAAGATGACTGTACCTGTCTTTTCTAAATGCTGTTGTCTTCTGAAATGTAGAAGGTTCAAAAATAATTCGCCAAATTACTCTGGGAGTCTTTCCTTAAGGTATTTGTTTCTGGTTGTCGAAAGCATTCAAATTGCCTCCATTGGGAGTTGGACTCGATGATCCTTATGGATCCCTTCCAACTTGAGTGTCGTGGTTTAACCCCAG